AGTTCACTGATAAATTATTGTCCATCCATGAATCTAATAGTGAAATATTGTCTATTCATTAATTAAGCTTTTCAGCCTTGCCTTGAAAATTAGTAAGTTTCCCTTTTCTTTATTTGCTTTTATATATTAAGTTAATCCATAAGAAATTAGTGATAGTAAATTTAATAGAAAATCTGGAGTCCTAGGGATTTATTCAGAGATACCATGATATGTGTGGGTGCATGTGTGTGTGTGTGTGTGTGTTTAGTGACAGATCAGCGTATTGCTTATCTGATCGCCTCATTGATAATGGTTCCTTAAAAGGAAGATGGAGATGCTGAAGATGTGCCTTCTGTGATTCTTTCCCTGTATACGGTTGTCTCTGGATGGGCACCTTCAGTAGGTTCTTGCTTCTAACTGATGATAAGGCAACTCGGCGTTATCTTTAAATCTCCTTAAAGGGCAACCAAAGCTGCAGTCACGCTTCAGGCTCAGTTGCTAAGTGTGAGGATCCCCCATCTCCTTTGGAGACTACTGTCTGTGCGCGTAGTTGTATATTTCTCCACATACACATCTTAGGCAAATAAGTTTAAAGCTTTATTTAGTGCAAACAATTCAGCAGGTCAGGTTCCTCAGATGGCAGATTCTGAGGAAGCGATTCACGTGCAGGAATTGTATTGGAAAGTGCTGTCAGGATTCACACCTGTGAGGGGATGAAGGGGAAGGAAGTGGAATAGGGCAGAAGGAGAAGCTGAGCTCCAAAGCATTTGCAACAGTAACATCCGTCAACCCTCCCCTCCCTCCAGCTTTTCCCTCCACAGTTGTCCTGAGTTGGAGCAAGGCAGCCAGGCTTCTTTATTATTATTATTATTATTATTATTGGGAAACACTGTGTTTTTCCAGGATCCATCAGCTCCAAGTCAAGTCATTGTCTTCAATCTAGTTGTGGAGGGTGCAGCTCAGTAGCCCATGTGGGGATCGAACCTGGCTGCCTTGGCGTTATGAGCACTGTGCTCTAACCAACTGAGCTAACCAGCTGCCCCCAAGCCAGTTTATAGCTCACACATTAACCAGTCATTGGATACATCCTGCCTCCAGCAACTTTCCCAGAAACGAGTGCAAAATATATGTCAGTCCCAAAGAGGGGTTTGGGCAGACTAGCACAGCATCCAGTAGTTCTCCATGTTTGGTCTGCAGCGGCAGTGGTTCTCAAACTTTAGCATGTATTAGAATTACCTGGAAGGCTTGTTGAAACACAGCTTGCTGGACTGCACACACACTTTCTGCTTTAGTAGGTCTAGGGTAGGGCTTGAGAATTTGCATTTCAGATAAGTTCTCGCATGATGCTGTTGCTGCTGGTCCATGGGCCGTACTTTGAGAACCACTGTAGGACACTGTCCATATTTACATACTGAGAATGGTATATGGGGCCCTTATAAATAGAAACAAAACCTTTTGAAGTCTCCATACCATTCCAGACTCCATCAAATTCTCAGCGATTTTGTGCATAATAAAGCTGGAATAGCTGATCATTAAAATTTGTTATAAAACAAAGGTTAACTAATATAGTAGATTATATGTGTAAAGCATTCTTACTATTTCTGATATCTGGTCATTGTTACTTTTAAAGTTCAGCCAGATTTTCTCCAGGATCTATGATTTGATCATCTAGACCAGGGGTCGGCAAACTTTTGAGACAGAAGAGGCAATCCCGTCCGTCACAACAATTTAAAAATTATTCAAGAGCCATAAAACAAATGAAATCACCATTATGTGAATAATATCCTTCAAAAATTTTATAAGTAAAACTTTATTTTCATTTTCAACTTTACTTCAGAGCCACATGTACGTACCCAAAGAGCCGCATGTGGCTCGCAAGCCGCAGTTTGCTGACCCCTGACCTAGACAGAGGAATTTACAAAATAATCCACGTTTGAGATCTTCAGTTTTGTTCTAAATCCATTTTTTTTACTTCTTTAAGATTCTAATCATTTCTACATTTTTTATTTACCATGTACGCCATTTAAAGCCATATGGTTACAGAAAATTCAAAAGTGTGAGATACTATCAGAGCTATTTTGAATGCACAAATATCGCATACAAGTACCCTTGACTCACTGTCTAGTCCACACTTGGCACAATTAAAATTTAGAAATTCAGTGTACAGAGATTGATCGCAGGAGAAAGGATGGAGCCTTAAAATTCCCACACAGAGGCCTGTGAAGGAGCTCATTTGAAGAGATTTTTCTGTCATTGCTGCCATTGAATTTTTGTAACATGTTTCCAAATTAGAAAATATTCAGCCTGATGTTGTCAATGTTTCAGACCATGAGGGTACCGTTTAGGAAAATGGTGCCTTACTGCTCTGAAAGAGTTACTGTTCTTCCCTCAGGGCCTAATTTACAAAGCAGCAAAGTTGCTGGTAGGATTTGACTAGAAATCTCATTGTCTCAGTAGAACCGTTTCATCTGATTGATGTGCCTCACATTTTACAAATCACCCTTGGAAGGTTATTTACTGGTTACTTTCCCTAAAAGGAGAGGGTAAGTGGGATTTCAAGTTTAAGGGGAGAGGACCTAAGATGTATCAAGTGCAGGTCATCGTGAAGATGAAGCTGATAATGAAATGCACACCAGTGTCTAATTCTCTAAGTTTATTTTACTCTGCCATGAGTTTCATATCATCCTTTTATTTTGTGTGAAACTGAAGTATGTTTGAAAATATATCAGTGTTTAACCCTGCATTTGCCTTCTGGAATGTGACAGCTTATTTCTATCTTATGTTTGGGACTGGAGACAGAGTAAGCTTTAGCGATTTCTAATGCGCAAGCCACCAGAAGTATTAGCTTGAACTGGATGAAACTGCCGCTTTTGTAGTCAGAAATGGTGAAATGTCAGCAGTTCCCCATGTTGCAACCTGTGCATTTCATGCCAGAATGTAACATGAAGACTCTCAGCGCTGTTGCAATAGTTCTGAATTTTTAAATCATACTAAATTCAAAGACAAATACCTAAGTAACGATTTGAATCTTTCCCTCTGCATGGATAGTTCACCTGAGAACTAGACAAGCAGGGAGCCAGCAGTCCAGGCTAGCCCTTGAACTACCTGAGGTTTAACTGATGCCCAACCAGAACACCAAGGGACCTTTCAGCTGTGCAATATTAAAGTTTATTTAGGAGTTTATAAACAGCTTAGAACAATGCTTCCCTTCTTCCAATAGCTGCATCCTCATAAACCTATGCTACCCTCCACCAGTGCATGCAGACGGAAGATTCTTATCCAGTATGAGTGCCGAACAAAACAACACCAGAAGACTGTATGCTCAGCAAAAACCTCGCCCATGATGAATAAACAGCTCTTCCAGGGGCTGCCGTTGGCTCGGCAGGAGTTGTTTATTGCCTGGTTTGCACATCCCATGATAAAGTTGCTGCTGAAATAAATTGCAATTTTGCATAATTATTGACAATCACATCTTAAGCAGTGTGTATCATATTCAAGTGTTCAATTTTTTTCAATCCATTTTTAGCTTATGTTTAATCCCAGGAAGTGTTTGTGTAGTGATCGAAGGCAAATTCAGCATTTAAATAGAGTACTAATTTCCTCATTGCAGACAAAATTTACCTGAATCTTTTTAGATGGGACTGTTACCGCCTCAGGCAATTTTCCCTCCCAAGCTATTATTATGTAGATGTTTGCTGAGGGCACGTGTGTATCCTCAAAACATGCATTATATATAGAGTCAGGAAATTTGAATAATGGCTTTTAGACTTTTCGGTCATTAGGGAATTTGGTTTCCCCCTTCTAAAACAGTAGAGGTAATGAGAGAATGGAATGTGGGTAGAGAGAACTAACATTTTTGAGTAACTAAGGTGTAGCGATATAAGGGATGAGGCTTTACACACGTTGTATTTTCCTTCTCATCACAGCAATATATATTGCAGATGAGAAACTGAGAAATCAGAGGGGTTAAGGAACTTGCCCTGTCACACAGGTGGTAAGGGATATTGGAATTCGAACCCAGATGTGTCTCGTCTTTAGGCTCTACTTTTTCCATTCCACATAAAATTTCCTTGTGGAAAATATCCTCAATTGTATGACAGTCAGGTAATGAATTATAAAGCTAACACAATAGTTAAAACTATTAGAACACAATAGTGTTATGCTAAATAATATTTTTGTACAGTGATTTCTATGAAATGTTATTTTACTACTTGGTAGTCTTTTTGTTCTCCTTTGTCCTCCAATCCCCTTCTCTTTTTTCCTCCAGCACTCAACTTTCTGTTCTAGCTTTCCATTTCCTTGACTTTTCTCCATGCCTGTCTCACCCTGGTTTCCTGCCTCAGGTGACATCAAAGATAAGCAAGGCGTAGGGATTTTAAGATTGTACCTATAAAGATTAGCCTAAACTTTTGCAGTATATTAAAATAAACTTTCAAAACTGATTGGTAAAGACTAGAAAGTTAAAAAAGACATTTTTTGAGAGTTCATATATGAACTTTCAAAACTCCAACACACACACACACACGCACACATAGACACACACACACACACACACACACACGTACATATACAGAGGGTGCCAAAAAATGTATACACATTTTAAGAAAGGAAAACTGTAGTAAAATTGTAATACACAATATACACCGATAACAAAAGATGAATACAAGTCACGTTTGACTTCTGCAATTAGAAGAGGTGCTCAAAGTGGTTACCATCAGTGTCCAGATAGTTCTAGTTATGGTGAACTACTGCTTGAGCAACGTTGACCAAAGTGTCCACTGTATACATTTTTTGGCACCCCCATCATATATATATATATATATATACACACACACACACACATATATGCACGTATATATGCTATTCTATCTGTTGTTACTTTTAAGAGGAATTTTAGCAACAACTCACCCCTTTGTTGGTATGTATAATTTAGTCCCTTTATCCTTGCTCTTTTCACGGGGTTCTCCGGCCACAACATTCTGATATTTAAGAACTACATCTGGACATTTGTTCCTTTGCAGGGTGAGTGAGCGAGAGGCTACTCTGGAAGAAACTCATCGATTACTGCAACAGTTCCCCCTGGACCTGGAGAAGTTTCTTGCCTGGCTTACAGAAGCCGAAACCACTGCCAACGTCCTGCAGGATGCCACCCATAAACAAAGACTCCTGGAAGACTCCAAGGGAGTAAGAGAGCTAATGAAACAATGGCAAGTAAGTAAAGCATTTCTACTTTAGTACTCTTGCGTATCTAATTCAACAGTTCTCAGCATTTGTCCTTGTAATTGATGTGCGGGCAAAAAGATATCTATAAGTTTTTTTCTATGGCCTGATATAGTTAAGCATTTGGGCAAGAAGGAGAGAGGCAAAGGGCAAAGGAAAAGCCATTTATTATTTCATTGAATACCCCAATCTTCTAAATAGTACATGTTTTTAACCAGGGAAAACTTGCACATAAAACCAGAGCTTTGGTCAAGGAGAAATTTTGCTCAGAGACATAAATGAGGGATTGGTTTATTCAATTGAAAAAGTTGCCAGTTTTGAGTGTTTGTTTCATATTTAACAGGGAAAGCATCTGTATGAATTGTCTATTTTATTTAGCGTTGCTAACCGAATCAGTTTCCCTTCATTACTTTCGAATACGTTTTGAAATGCTAACCTGGCATTTTGGAGCTCTCTTCTTAACGTGATCTGTGCAAATAAAAAATGAGATGGCTAAATTTGTCATAGTTAATGATAATACAATTTTCAGACAATTGTTTTTCCTAGAAATAAAAATTATTGCTATAAAACCTCATATGCATAAGCAGTGAAAACAGAAGCTTGGGGTAGTTTTGTTTAATGACGTCTTGGTGAGAATCATATTTTGCAGTTCAAGGAGGCTCCTTAAGTTTATTCTCAATGCCTGATATAATTTTCCTCAACAATCATGGAGTTTTCTTATGTATAGTTGAGTTTTCTGGCTTGATATAAAAACTTGACTGTTATCTCAAATAAAATTTGGAGTGTTAGAATAAGATGATCAATTTGGGGAGACTGATTTCACTTTTTTAAATTATGAAAAAAGTGATAATGTACCCTAGGTTAAAAAATAATAACAAAATCAAATCATAATAAGCAAAGCCTTTTCTCCTCCCCTTCTTGTTTTTCTCCTTGTTTTTCTGTTTTGAGAGGGTATTTGATATACTTTGCTGCTCTTGTGCATAGAGTAGATGACAGTGGCAATTTATAGCTTGTGGAATTCATCATTCCTGCCTTATCATTCTCCTCTTTTCCTACTTGCTTCTCCACAATGTGAGTTGAGTTAATTTGGTCATTTGGAGGTAGTTTGTTTTGAAGAATACCCGCCTTTATCTTTGTAGATATCTTCCATGGCTTGAGAATGTAAAAGCAATACTAAGTTAATTTTTTTGGTCACTCTTAGATGAATGGTTAGAAAATGTATTGCTGTAACTTATTTGACTTATGATACTTCATAAATAAAATTTTTATCTTGTCAATGCCTATAAAGCCACCCTAGAATTTTAATAAGTTATAGAGTCCCATATCATCAGCAATGGTAAAGAGTAAAACTGTAAGTGGATTTTTTTAGCAGATTACTTTAAAAATAAAGAATAATCTACTGACTCAAAATCATTTTATAATAGGAATTTAATAAAATAGCCCTTAAATTAGTGAATAAGTCTGTTTGAAGTTAAAGATATATCCTTCTACTGCCTATACATTTTATATTTATATCTGCAATGCTCTAAAATGATAATTATTATATAACTCCTAGTCTTGAGAAACTGCAAGATTCTGAATCACTAAAGAAAAAAATTGCTATGTTTTCTACTATATTTACTGTGGAAGAATGGAGTACATTTTCTGTTTACCTTTCTGGTCCCTCTGTTAAAAACAGTTGGAAATTATGCTGAGGAAACTTCCTTAGCTTACGGTATATTACTTATAAAAATATATTTATCCTTAAAATGTATAAAAGTCCCTTAGAGTTCCTGAAAACTTTAAACATAATGTTTTTCACTCACTGTGATAAGACTAAGATTCCAACATTATTTTAAAACAGAGACAATTTTCTCATTCTCTCTTAGTTAATATTGTGTTTTCTATGAATTCCAGTTACCTGAGGTTGAAACTACATGTTAAGAATATGGATGACATTTATAGCCAGCTCTGATTTTCAGGTAGATATCTCAGTAATGGTCTTTGATGAAATATTTAGAAGCATCATGGCAAAAACTCCTAAACAACTGAAACTATTGATGATTGTTAGTGGCACATTTCAACTGATAGAGTTGAATTAAGATACAGGGGGTTAAAAGGAGCAAATGGAAATGCCAGTCTTGAAAGTAAAAAAAAAAAAAACACATGTCTTGAGATTACATGGTATTTCAGCTAAATGGAGTGTTTGTTTTTTTTCCGTCTAACGATGATTTTTAAAATTTTGAATGAAAGGAATTTTCTATAATATATGCAAAGGAAAAATATGTAATGGTATGCTTTTTCTCTTCATTTGAAGAAGGTGGTAGCATTTGTTTGATTGATGCTGTACAGTAGTCCTCCTTTATCCATGATTTCAATTACCCGTGGCCAACCATGGTCCCAAATTATTAAATGGAAAATTCTAGAAATAAACAATTCATAAGTTTTAAATGGAAAATTCCAGAAATAATTCATCAGTTTTAAATGAAAAATTCCAGAAATAAACAATTCATTAGTTTTAAATTATGTGCTATTCTCAATAGCATGAGGAAATCTCACGCCATCCTACCCAGGACAGGAATCGTCCCTTTGTCCAGTGTCTCCACACTACAGACACTCAGCGCCTGTTTGTCACTTAGTAGGCATCAGTATAAGTATCGCAGTGCTTCCCTTCAGGTAACCATTATTTTACTTAAAATGGTCCCAAAACACATCAGTAGTGATCCTGGCAATTCAGGTATGCCGAAGAGAAGCCGTAAAGTGCTTTCTTTAAGTGAAAAGGTAAATAAAGTACAATAAGATATTTTGAGAGAGATCACATTCACATAACTTTTATTGCAGTATATTATTATAATTGTTGTATTTTATTATTAGTTTTCATTGATCTCTTACTGTGCCTAATTTGTAAATTAAACTTTATCATAGGTATGTATGTTTAAGAGAAAACATAGTACATCAAGGATTTGGTACTATCCATGGTTTCAGGCACCCACTGGGGGTCTTGGAATGTATCCCCCACAGATAAGGAGGGACTATTGTATAGGAAGCGTAATTCTTACATATTAGGAAAGGAAACTCCAAATGCCTAGCTGGAGCAATAGCTCTCCCAACAGATCCTGATGTATCTGTTGACCCAAAAGCAGTGATGTTTTACTTTATACAAATGCTACTAAATGGAGACAGGGAGTGAAAACCTTCACAAAATGTTTGTTTGGTGTTTTTTTTTATGACTGTCAATCAGTCGTTCTAGATATGAAGACTCCAGCTCTTGCTAACCTACCTATCACTGTTGTATATCATCCACTTCATAGAATGTTTAATTCTCCCAGCAATAATTACAAGTCATGGATTCTGTAAGCATGCATGTACAATATTATGAGGCATACGCTTCCTTAACGGAATTAACCTGATTAATTCCACTCTGAGAGACATTAAAATGTCTTCCTTATATTAGAAAAAAAATGTTATTTCATTTCCTTCCTAAAAGCAAGGACATTAGAGTTGTACTTCAAGGTGATGAGATTTTTCTTATAAGTATTGTTATTTCTGAAAGTCTAACTGGACTTTTAAAGCTAATACATTTTTACAAGAGTACCATGTAGAGCCCTGAGAGGTGACAGTTGGAGATTTTTTAATTGAAAATTTATCCTTAAAATGAAGAACTGTATTCATAATTGAATCAGATTCTCCCTGTGTCCAAGACATTTCCTGCTTTGGGCCTCAGAGAATTGATTAAAATGGTCATGGTTCCAAGTTCTAACATAAAACCATGGGTAACTAACTGAAAATGGGAAGACTCGGCATCGTGGCTAATATTTCACAAGAATTTCACCAGCTTAACTGGTTCTCTAAGCACCCCTAAGAGATAAATGTAATACCAGCTTGTAAAGAAGGCGTGTGGGTGTGGGTATGTGGTGGGAGAGATTGTCATAAAGGTGGCGTAATTAGGATCTTTTCCTCAGCAAGAGAAACCACGGAGCAATTAGTACTTGAGATTCCTTCATCTGTGATCTGACTCATGTCTCAGACCATGTCTCTCAACTCACTCCCTTCTCTCATTTCATTTGTTTACCCGTGTCTTGTCCCTTCATTCTTCCTCACTGTAAAAATTCTCTTCTATTAAACAAAGCATATCCAAAGACACAAGTTTGATCAATTTTGAATTGTCCTTCAGATATACCTGTAAATTCATTAAGATATCTTAGATTTCTAATACATTATTGAAATTGAGGAAGTTGTTCCTTAACAAAAATCTCGTCCCACTAGATAATTCCAAAGGAAGTAATAAGGTAATCTTAGTAACACAATTACTATCCTGAATAAATTGGATTGTCATAGTTCTTGGGACATCTGAGAAGAGAGAGGTAATCTGAGGATCACTGAGTGTAAGAAAAGGAAACGCTCTGTGTCTTCCTCTCTGTTGCTATCATTTGAATCGAGTTTTATATGTATTTTTTAGTCTTTCTACTTTGAGGTCTAAAGAGTACGAGAGTTAGGGCCGGCCGAGTGGCTCAGTTAGTTAAGAGCTTGTTCAAGAGTGCGAGCTCTGAGCAACAGGGTTGCTGGTTTGATTCCCGGCCTGAGCTGAGCTGCCTCTGAGCTGCCGACGGATGGCAGGATGGCTCAGCTAAAAAAATAAATAAATAAAGAGTATGAAGGTTAATCTTAATATTTTTCTTTTGCCTGCTGATGGCTGCCTACCATTGTAGATATGTAAAACTTTTATATGTATTATTTCTCTAAGAACTTTAATTCACCAACTCTTTATTAAGCACCTGTTAGGTGCCTCGCATGCTGTTAGGACTAGCAATAGAAATGTGATTAGAAAGGTGTTTCTCAAACACAGTTCAGACAAAGCACTGGGTTGTGTAATCAAGTTAATGAGTATCAATCCACATTTTTTAAATAAAAAGGAATAAAATTAAGAGAATGAAATAGAAAATAGCAGAGCCTGTCCCTATTAAGTAAGAGTCAGTATTATTTTGTGAAACTTTGTTTTCAACCGTGTGTGT